CAGACAAGTAGGGACAGGTCCTGCACCCCAGTACCCACTAGCATTCTTCTTGCTAGCTGATTCTGTGCTTGCACACCCTGCCTGGCCCTTTCTTCCTGTCAGAGCTACAAGCAAGGCTTCAGCTCACCACCCCCTTCAGTTACTCCACTTCCTGGTGGGCCCTGGTGAAAGCCTGTGCTGCTCCCTCATAGTGCTGTGCCCACTCTGCTTGGGACGTTGGGTGTAACCATGGAAGTTTCCTCCTGACCTGTTGGTCTCACCATACCAGAATGATCAGAAAGCCCTTATTTCAACCCAAACCACTAGTGCCTGACGTTTGGAAAACGCCATGAGGCATGCGCTGTGGGAGGCTGGCCAGGATTACTGCTTCTGTGCATCTGATCTGAAAACATAAGTGTACACTGGCAACAGTGAAAACAACAAATAAATAAACCAAAGAACATGTTGTAGAACAATAGATAGAACCCTTTTATTGGCACAGTAACTTTTCCAGGGCTGGTCTGAATAAAGAGTTCCAAGTAGCAGACGCGGTGGCCTGGAGCAGGGTCGGGGTGGGGCTGCTCAGAACTTCCCCATAGCCAGGGAAGCTCAGTGGGAGAGGCCGTGCATTACAGGGGGGTCCGGACATATAGCGAGCGAGTCATGCAGCGTAACTCCCAGAGGATGGCCGTCTTGATGCAGCCTGCACTGCTCAGACTGGTAAATCTCAGCATATATACTTGCACTGTTCAGACCTTTAAATGAACATGACCATCTCACACACCAGCGATGAACTTGCAGCTGCTCGTGTTTCACGGAGTGCTGCATGAGTTCCTGCAACCTATGGTGAAGTTGGGAGGTGAAATTTAACTAAAGGGCACACAGTCCAGCCATCCAGAAATACAGGACAAAGACCTTCCTCCTAACTGAAGAATAAAATCTAAAACGTGGGGCTCGATCCACATTATGCAAGGGTTGACAATGGCGAAGTTAAACAACAAGGTCTCGAGATTTTTAGGTACCTTCAGTTAAAGGAAAACGTGTAGAGGAAAAAGAAAATAGGAATGAGTTTTAAAAATTTGTATTTTGAAGAAAGGGAGCACCACCAGTTGCATAAAGTTATAAAATACAGTCATAAACATGTAAATAATTATCAGGTATGAACTCCAGTAAAACACAAACACCTACCAAGAAATAAAATATATGTCTCGTATAGTGTATTATAATAAAACCATTGGAAGGACAATAAACATATTGCTGAGCTCTATAAAAACCACTGTACAGAGTGTGCATGGATGGCTCCTCTGTCCTCCCTCACCCTGTCCACACTGCTCCCAGGCTTTCTCTTGCTACCTAGGAGTAGCCTGGCCCTATAAACATGGAGCCTGAAAATCAGTGTGTCACCACAAAATGGATAAGAAAGAACACGCGCACACACACGCGCACACACGCACGCACACAGGGCATCTCTTGTACTTGGTGGCAGCGTCCTGTGCTGTTTTGGGTCTGTGAATGGATGAGGACCCAGCCGGTGTCAGAGGCAGCCTTCTGAGGGTGCAGCCTTGGGTCAGTAGGCAGCTTTATTTGGTGAGTCTGCATTTCAGGCCCCATCACATGCCACTATCCCAGAGCTCAGAAGGCAGCCGGTTGCAGGCGGCTCCCTCGGGCTTCTTCAGCATGGTGGGCTTTTTGCAGGGCGGCGGGGGTGGCACCCTGGGCTCGGCGTGGCTCAGGAGCTGCTGCCAACCTTGCCTCTCCTCGCAGAGCTGCCGCCTCCAGTCCAGCAGCTCCTGCAGGGCTACACTTTCGTTCTCAGAGAGCCTCAGCTGGTGGATGACCTGTGGGAGGGAGAGAAGGAAAAGGAGCACCAAATGCAGTGACTGCGTGTGCCCGGGCAGCAGCTCCAGATGCATGCAGAGAGGCCAGACTGCGGCAGGGAGAGACAACACTTTCTGCAAAAGCTCCAGGCTCTGCTGCCTCTGGAGATGGTGCCACCCGCCCAAGTCAGCTGTGCATGGAGGTGATGATGGCAGCAAAGCACCAGGAAGCAGGGAGGGCAGTGCGCTCTGCACCTGCACGTGGTATAAGCGATAAGCAAGTGCCTGCCCTCTGCTGCTGCTGGCTGCCCATGACATCTCATGTCCTCTCTGACACTTGTGTCTGTAACAGATTTTCTCCTGCTAACAGGAGCCACTCTACGTGTCCAGAAGTCAACGTACACGGCTACGAGGGCAGCAGGACCCCACTGCAGACCATAGGGCAGGAACCCAATGATGGAGCCCTCCTTGAGAAGGGCAATTTAACAGAGAATCACATCACGCTATTTCCAAGTGTTAAGCGTTGCACCAGACAGCCATGAGAATACCCAAGAGCTCATTGGAGGCAAACCAGCGGGCTTGAGAATGCCTGCTGCCTCCTTGGGGTATGGCTGTGTGCTCACTTTTGTGGCAGCAAATCTCAACAATGAGCTAAAATAGCAACTGTGCCCTGCCCCGATCAGCAGCCCTCAAAGGTGGAAACTTCAAGTGTCCTTTTGCAGGACAGCATCAAAAAGTGGAATTGTACTGGCTGAGCCCTCTTCCCTGGGCGCCTGGAGCCAGAGTTGAGCCCCCTGACTGCAGAGGGCACAGCAGGATGCAGGTTATGGGGAACCCCCTGAATGCAGAGGGCACAGCAGCACCCAGGTTATGGGGGGCCCCTGACTGCAGAGAGCACAGCAGGATGCAGGTTACAGGGAACCCCCTGAATGCAGTGGGCACAGAAGCACCCAGGTTATGGGGAGCTCCCTGACTGCAGTGAGCACAGCAGCATGTAGATTATGGGGGGGCCCCTGACTGCAGTGGGCACGGCAGGACACAGGTTATGGGGGGGCCCTGACTGCAGTGGACACAGCAGCACCCAAGTTACGGGGAGCCCCCTGAGTGCAGTAAGCACAGCACCATGCAGGTTATGGGGGGCCCCCTGACTGCAGTGAGCACAGCAGGACACAGGTTAAGTGGCTCTGCTGATCCTGTTTCTGCCCACAGCCAGTCATCTGTAATGTCTGGACACTGTAGACATCTATTATTTTCTAGCAATTCTAAGTAAATATGCTCGTTTTTCAAAAGGTGGGATTCTGGAAACACTGATGAGAATCTGGGGGAAAGTCATCACCCTACCAATCCAACTAGCTGGGAGTTCTAGTTCCACTCCCAGCTCATCACGGCCCCTCTATAAAACAGAAAGTGAAGCAGGACACGGGTGGCTGAGGCTCTAATGGAGGGAATGGTCACCTGAACGTAGCGGGGCGAGGGGGTGTTCTGTTTCAGTTCTAAAACCAACACCCGAGCCTACTATTGACGGAGGCGGAGGACTTTAAAGGCTAGTATGAAGGAGACGGCGTTTAAGGGATGAAAGTCACATAGTTAGGATCCATAATTTGAGTCGTGGAGCTGATTATTCACAAAAGGAATCTGTCAAGTTGAATTTAGGGACAGCCACAGGGGAGGAGAAGGCGGTGGCTGCTGGTCCCTCGATGCCGTCGCTGCGTGTCGGCAGGAAATGCGCTGTGCAGCTCAGAGGGCCGGAGCCGGTGCCCAGACCCGCCAGGATAGGAAAGGGACATTCCTGCTGCACAGGCACCTGCAGGAGCCGCACGGCTTCTCCGGCGAGGCAGCAGGGCCGGGGCGCGCCCAGCTCGGCGAGGGAACGAGCGCAGGGCGGCTCCCACCGCGCCTGCCCTTCCGAAGTGCCTTACAGATGTAATGCATGTGCTCCTCTGAAGTCAGCGCCACTGTTTCACAGGTGAGGAAACTGAGGCACAGAGCAGTCGGCAATGGACAGATGGAAAGCGGTGAAACCAGCGGTCTGGCTCCGGAGTCTCGGCTCTGAACCGTCACTCCACCCGCTTACCAATCAACCACCCAGCCATTGTCACCCTGCCTCTGACAGAGGCGACGAACCTGTGTGCCTGGCCCGGGCTTCCCTTCTCTTTTTCTAAACAAAAACGTGAGTGATACCTGTTTGTCTCCACAAGAGCGCACTTGACTTTCTACCTTGTCTCACAAGCGTGTGCCGCGGGGCACAGCCACCCCCTGCTGTCTACTCTGCACATGCGCAGTGTTCTGTTTGTCTGCTCTGCGCATGCCCTGTGTCCGTGCTTGCCTTCTCGGCACATGCGCAGTGGGCAGCACTGATCTTTGGAAAATGCCGTCAATAGACTTACTCTTAGCAGAGAACCCTCCACTGATGGAAGAGTGTCTGTGCCATCTCAGATGAGTATCTTCCCAAAGCTTTCTTAAGATATCATCTTTCCTAAAATGACACCATTTTTTATTCATTTATTTAGGAAACAAAGCTAGGAACTCCTAGTCCCACAGAGGAAGAAGTAGGTTGCAGCAGCTTACTGCTCCCATTGTAAAAATTTTAAAAAGAAAATAACAAAAATCGTATTTTTAAAACACGAGAAAGTCCTGCCATATGCAGAAAATTCCCCAGGGAGCAAAGCTTTCTGAGATGAACTGATAATTACCAGCTGCCTTTTTTTTTTTTTTTCCTCATGGAGGCATTTGTTAACTGAGTTCTTCTGCAGGCCTGGAGAGTCTTTCTGACACTCTGCAGGTGCACAGGACTAGAGAAAACCACTGAAAACTTAGGATCCTCAAATGCACATCCATTTCATCAGGGACATCCCTGGAATTATTCCACTGGAGGGGTGACTGGTGTCTTAGGCCAAAGCAGATAAAAATGCAGAACAAGATCCCGGCAATGATAGAAGTACTTCTGAAGTGAGACTCCAACAGGGGACATGACAGACTCAAGCACACGGCCAACCTCCTCTCCCAATCACTTGCTAGATTTTGAAACTGTGGGGGCCCAAGTCTGGAGTGTGGGGCTGGAGTCCTGAAAGGCAGGACTGGACCTGTGTCATCCTCAGTGCCATGAAACAAAAATGTCTCAGTCCAAAGCACAGGGGAATCAAGCATGAGGATGGGAAGAGAAGCGAGGCAGGGAAGCAGGCTGCTTCTCCACTGAGGCTCAGAGCCGGATGACAGCAGCAGCTGAATTGTCCCTGGAAAGACTTGAAGCCAGACATCAATGAAGTGCAGCTTCAGTTACTGCAAGAAGATGATTCAACCCACCATGCTGGACTCAATAAAAGTAGCCCTCAAAAATTAAAATGAAATAAAGGTGTTTTTAGACAAATGAAAATAAGGGAATTTGTTACTGGAAGTCTTGTACTAATAGAAAGACAAAATTAAGCATTTTTTAGGGTGAAGGGAAATGAACCCAGATCAAAAAGTGGAAATTTAATACAGAATCATGAAGACTGGAATTCGTGAACTCATGGGTAAGTATAAATTACATGTTTGGAATGTCTCATAGACTTCAAATTACACGAAGAACATGAGTGCAAGCCCATAGTAACTGCAAACCCAGGAGGGATTAAACAGGGTTTAGACATCCTAAAGTTCTTGGAAATCAGGAAAGTGGTAAAAACAATCAGATCTGTTAGGATGCAGTAAGTCGCGGATGCAGGTTTTACCTTCCAGTGAAAATTCTGAAAGAGCAGATGGAACATTTAATCAAACAGGTAATGTAAGAAAAAAGTACATTAATAAATATTCAGGTAAATCTAACAGGCAAGAAAGGTAGAGAAGAGGCTATAAAAATAGAGACCAATTTATTCCTAACAGTGCAAAAGAGGAAAGCATAAAAATGAGACAAACAGGCTCCACATCTCGACCCAGCAGTTGGTGTTACCCTTCGCTGGCCCTATGGCCTGCATCTACTTCAGATTTCTTCTAAATCCTAAACCCTTTTCAGCAGTTTTTCATAAAGGCCAAAAATATACTAGGTGCAACCCTCTTCAGAAGCATCACGACAGGAACAGACTTGAGGACTGAGTCAGTCTAGGGAAGCACAGAGGCAGCCAGTCAGCTGAGAGTGACTTTCAGCAGCCGTGGGTCTGATCAGACTTGTCAGGAGGGACTTTGACAAAAAAGATCCCAAATCCCCTGAGTCATTGCTTCTCTTTTTAGGAAAAAAAAGTTTTCTTCCCTTTCAAAGCGTCTCAATTTTAAATATCTGCATTCCAACTCCATTATAAAAGGTAAAACTTGTGCATACACACCATTAGAAAGCCTTGTCTTAATGAGAATATTGATGTTTTGAATAACGTAGCAAGTACAGAACTCAAGAGCTTTCATGGTTCCTTGAGCAAAAATTTGACTGATGTTTGCAACAATTGAGTAACATCTAGAATAAACATTTTAATTCAGGGATCCTGTGGAACCATCCTTATTTTCTGTCTTAGAGATTAATAGCTATCAAGTAAAATCTGGTATGTGTATAAGGGTAGTTGCCATAATGGCCTAAAGAAGATTCTAAATATTAATATTATTGATCTTCATTTAAAAAAATACTTTTCAGAGGTTATTTCTCAAATGAAGGTTAGAATTCTGTGCAAAATTACCTGATAGACCACTACCTTCAACATAGCAAAGGTTAGAAGGTGTTTTAAAGTTCTGATCTGTGAAATGGTAAACAGAAGACGAGAGAGGCAGCCAGGATTTCCTGACTAAAGATGTTAGTTACTTAGTTGTAAAATATAAATGTGATTTATTTATATTTCTTATATTTGTTAAGATTGTGAAATGCAAGAATCATATTTGTCATAAAGAGTGTTAAACATTTCAGAATAAAAAATAAATGCCACTATAAAATGCTATTTAAATGGTGAACCAGTAACATATAAGCAACTAAAATGTTTAAAATATTTATTCAGCACTGTAAAAACACCTCCATCAACTTTCATCCAACCTTTAAATGTTACATCCTAGTGGTAACCACAAAACCA